GGGGGGTGGGGGGGGGGGGGGGGGGGGGGGGGGGGGGGGGGGGGCACACAGCCAGGACATGCTTGAACTAAACAAATCCTTCAACAGCTTCTATAACTGTTAACTACATATTACTTCAGCATGTGTTCATGTTCTTTGAAGCGGTCGATCCATTCTTCACTCTCCAGGATGTCAGTGCTTCAGTTTCATTAAATATTTTTGAACCTCTACAGGATTTTCTAGCCCCACAAGAAATTCACATCGGCTCAGTTCAGAGAAGATTCGTTTGTCTTCAAGCACAGAAATGGAGAGACAAGCTGACGACAGAGCGATGTTCACACCTTCTCATGGAGGTCAGTGTCACAGGAGTCCATGCCGTCTGGAAAAAGGTCCTCGGTGCTGCCGGTTCTGCTGCTCAGGTTGCTGTGGTGGAGCAACTGCCTGGAAAACACAGACAAGACAATCAAAGATCTGCAGGAGCTCTTGTTTGGAGCGGTTCATGTTGAAAGAGGTGAAGGAGAGAGTTGGTGCCAACAGAATATTAATGAACACGCACAGAGCTTGGTACAGCAAAGCCATCGCAAACCAAGGTGTGTGTGCACGTGTCTGTGCTCTGCTGTCACCGTTTAATAAAAGCTTCTGCCTCATTATTCAAACGAAAGAGCAGAGAAGAAGAAATGAGGGGAAACCAAGAAGAAAAGACATGAATAAAGCTGAAGATGTCATCAAACAAGGGCATAAACACCAACGGACAGAGCAGGAAGATGGAGGCATAAATATGGAAAACATACAGTATATTACTCTTGCAATATTCTTAACAATGTTTCTAAACTCTAAACACTCTGAAAGAGCACAGCATGTCATGAACTCAGCCGTCTGGCATGGCTGCACTCTGCACCCTAGGCCACGCCCACTTCTTTGCAGAACTGAGATCAACAGAGGAAGGAGGATGGAGGAGGAGCTGCAGGAGGAAGATTCTCCTGCAGTGTGAGCTGCACAAAGGTGCAGCAGGTTCTAAATCATTTTAAATAATTCATTTTAAATAAAAATTCCATGCCGATCGTGCAGCTTATCCATTAATCAGCCAATTGTGTGTCATGTCGGCTCTTATTTTGAAAAACTGCAATAGAGTGAGCCCATGAAAAACCACGAAGTAGCGAGGAACTACTCTATACATAATATGCACTACTACTATATACTACACACATCATGCTGCTGTTGTTCGGTGTATTATTTTGCACTATTAGTGACTAATGCACATCTTACATCTTTTAGCGTACCGTTTGGCATTCCTTTAGAGTATATCTTAGTTTATATCTTAGATCCTTATTTAGTGTTTCTTTTTACCCAAAAAAGTTCAATCTGGTCCTCTGGACATTCAAAAAAAACAAAAAACAAAACAAAGCAAAAAAATATAGAAACGTTTCGTCTCTCGTCCGAGAGACTTCCTCAGTCTGAGGTGCTGTTTTCAGCTCAGTCTCTTAAATAGCACCTTCTCAGAGTGGATCAACCAGTTTGCTGCTGACAACAAGAACCAGGACGTCAAGGCTCTCTTTTCTACCTCCTCCATGTACAGGTTGGCA